TTTCCATGACATCACAGACCTTTGGGATCGCAGAATTATGGCCAGAAAGTCTCTTGTCAGCCTACCTCGAATGAGCCCTGGGATGACTTCTCACCCCGCCTCCCATCCTCCAAATCCACCAAGCTATCCAAATCCAGGCAAGTTCCCCCAGTTTAGCAAATGCCCTCAAAGTAAAAAAGACTTAAGGGCTCCTTTAGTCTCTCAGATTTTCAGCTTTCTTTTAGATTTTGACATAATTCCTAAATACCTTTAAAAAAATTTAATACAGCATTCTTGGCTATTTTTGGTGTGAAGGTTTTTCTAAATATCTTAACTATATTCCCCAAATGAAAACCCTATAGTTACTTTTCAAGTTAAAATTAAGTCCAGTCAGTTAGGGCAGGATTTGCAAAAGCCAAAGTCTGGCGCAGTCTACATTAAACACCTTCGGTAGTACCTGGGATGGCGGGTGATTACTGCAGATGTTTAAGACTTAAACAACACATTACACTCCGATGACAAGTTTATCTTAGAAAACAATTAAACATTAATTTGAGGGGGAGTCATGGGTGGGCGACTTGTTCTCTTAGGTATCAAGGCTCTTTATACAACTAAAATAAATAAGATTGTGGCAAGGATACACCAAGAGAGCTAAGAAAGAACAGCCCAGACACATATGCACACATATGGAAACTTGACATGTGACACTTACAGATCACTGGGAAGAAAAACAGAATATTCACTAACTGATGCTGGGAAAGACCCATTACGCATATGGGAAAAAAATGAAACGAGATCCCCACTTCACACCACAAGAAAATCATTTTCACATGGATTAAGGACATAGACACGAAAGGTAACATTTTAAAGCTTTCAGAAGGAAACATCAGACTATATTTTATGACCTCAGAGCTGGGAAAAATCTGTCAAACAAGACGCCAAAAGCACAAACCATAAGGAAAAGGCTGACATATTCAACTACATTAAACTATAGAACGTGCCCATCAAAAACCACTATAAAATAAAAAGACAAGATACCAGGAAAAAGATATTTGTCACATGTACAACTGGCAAAGGATTCGTATGCAGAATATATATGCAAAAAAAAACCAACTTCTGGAAGTCACTTTTAAAAAGGCAAAAAAATAAAATAAAAAATAGGCAAAAGACATAAACAGACATCCCCAAGAAGAGGAACTATGAAAGATTCAACATCAACAGTAATTAAGGAAATGGAAATTAAACTCACAATGGGATACCATCTCTCACTCACCAGATTGTTGAAAAGAAAAAAATCAGATAATTACAAATATGGTTGTACAAATGTCTCAAATGTTGGTGAGAAAGGGAACAAAGTGGACGCCTAACAACCTGCTTGTGAGAGTAGAAACTGGCACAACCGCTTTATAAAACAATTTGGTATCATCCAGCAAACCTAGAGATCCACAACTCCACTCCTGGGCAAAAAGCCAGAGATATTCCTGCACACGGACACAAAAAGACATGGATTAGAACTGTCATAACGATTCAGGTTTTGGGGTTGGTTTTTTTGTTGCTGAGGAAGATTCGCTGTGAGCTAACATCCACTGTAACTCCTCCTCTTTTTTTGCTTGAGGAAGATTCGCCCTGAGCTAACAACTGTGCCAATCCTCCTCTATTTTTCTGTATGTGGGACACCTCCACAGCGTGGCTGGTGAGCACAGTAGGTCTGTGCCTGGGATCCGAACGGCGAACCTGGGCCACCCAAGAGGAGCATGCAGAACTTCCACCACTCAGCCAAGGGGCCAGGCCCAACAAGTCAGTTTTTAATGGCAAAAGTAAAAATTAAAATAAAAAAAGAAGACTGAAAATACCCCCAAACATCCATTAACAGGAAGATGGATATACGGTGGTAAAGCCATACAATAGAATCATATAGAGCAATAAAAAGTAAACAATAACACATCCACATAGATGAATCTCACATTATATATGTTGTGCAAAAAAAAAAGTGATAGAACAGGCAAAACTAAATAATACATTATTTAGGAATATATAAATATGTAGTAAAACTTTACAGAAAATCAAGGAGCATGGAAAGAGAAAGACAATCTGGACTTCAAAAATATTGATTATGTCTTATTTCTAAAGCTTGATATGTGTACAGGAGCATTTATTTTATTTGTATTCTCTAGATCTGTAGATGTCTCAAAAGTACTGTTTCCAGTTGTTCCCCATCCTTGTCAACACTCGATTGTTTTGGCCTTTTCCATTTTAGCCATTCTTTTCACATTCCTAAAGAAAATACACATAAAACTACTTGTCTGAACAACAACAAAAAAATTAAACTTTCAAGGCCAGCCCAGTGGCACAGCGGTTAAGTTTGTGCATTCCGCTTCAGTGGCCTAGGGTTCGCCAGTTCAGATCTCGGGTGAGGACCTATACACCGCTTGGTGAGCCATGCTGTGGCAGGCGTCCCACATATAAAGTAGAGGAAGATGGGCACGGATGTTAGCTCAGGGCCAGTCTTCCTCAGCAAAAACAGAAGGATTGGCGGCAGATGTTAGCTCAGGGCTCATCTTACTCCAAAGGAAAAAAAAAAAATCAAACTTTCAATGAAGATGGAAGGGAAACTCATAAAGAAATTTTAACCTAAGAGCATTTTCCCTTGAATGCGTAATAATAGTTGAAGCAAAGGCCCTATCTGATGTATGCCTCATGGATCCTGACTTTGACAAAATATCTGATGTCTACAGAAGACTTTTAGGAGAGTCACTGAGATATACATGAAAGAATCACATGACTTAAACGTAAAGAGTATCAAAGTACTGGAACTCAGGTGAAATACAATCCAACAGTTTGTTAAAGGATGACTAACACTGATAACGCCTGGACCCCACAGACCAAAATACCACTCAAATAGTGTGCATGAGTCGAATAGGGGGAGATGAAATACTCTCCTATAATATATCCAATGCTTAGTTACTGGCTCTCAGCTTCTGCCACTTGACCACGAGAGAGGCACATGCCGTGAGGCACAATTTTAATTCTACCATCCTTATATTCTCTCCAATATGACTACAAACTCCTACCAGCCTGTCACTTCTCCTTCTAATCTTTGTTTCCCAAAATGAAGATTCCACATTCACTATCTTTATTTCTTCATCCTCTATTTACTCCTCATATTCATTCAGATTTGGCTTCCATCCCTATTTTAAATTATGTTTGCTGAGATCGAGGACCCCCTTCTAACTTTCAAAGCCAATAGGCACTTTATCAGCTCCTATATTCCTGATTGCTCTGACTCTGAGATAGATTTCTCTCCTCTTTAAAACTCTTTCCTTTCCTGGCTTCTACTACACGACTATCTGTTAGTTTTCCTCCTTCTTTCTTGAATGTTCCTCTTCAGTCTCCTTGGCTGTCTCTACCCATCACTTAAATATTGGTGTTTCCCATCCTTGATCTTCCTCTCTTCTTACTCTTACTTGAATGATTTCTTCCGCTCTCACAGGATTAACTACCATAAATCCACGGATGTCTCCAACATCTACAACTCTGAGCCTGACTTCCGAAAACCCTGATACCAATATACCCAAATGCCAACTAGACAGCCCTGCCAGATGTCTTACAAGAATCTCAAGCTCATTTTCCCTCAACCAAATTAATTTCTCCATTTGTTAGTTTTATTCGTGAACACACAACTATAATTCAAGTGGAGCAAATAAAATACAAGAGATACTGTAAACACTCTTTTTCTTCAAAGGTTAAAAAAGCACAAATTTTTATGAAGCCTTTTCACCCCAGGTACGAAGGTAATTCACGTCATTAGCAAAAACTACAAAATATGAGATGACAAAAAGCAAACCTCAAATCTCAGCTCTCAAAGGCAAGAAATATCAACATTTCCTTCCAGCAAAAACAATTCTTAACCATGGTAGTTACATATCAAAATATTAAACTGGTAAACAGGAGGTGTTGTCAACTCAATATTTCCAGGCTATTTTTTGCAGTATTAATAAGGAAAAAAACATAACTCTATTACTATCTACCTGGAGTGAGAATTAGTATAATATTTTAAGTACAAATGCAATCCTTTTACATGCTGTATTTGAAATACTCCAAGGAGTCAATGTCTTTGGTTGGCATCTACTTTGCCCATACCTGGACATCTGTCTGTGTGCAATGCACTTCATAATTCATCCAGAGTATTTTCCTCTATTTAAAGTAAACCATAGCAAAGAAAGAAAAAGAAAAACTAGAAGGGATAGAAGCCAAATCTAAAATCTAGCTGGGTAGATAATTCGTGCTTTGCAAACCACAGGAAACTGACATTTTAACACCCCTTCGCCGCTTCAAAAAGTTTCGGAAAAATCACACATAACACCCCTCGGCCAACCTGTTCTCATCAGACTCTCCAGACGGAGAGGGGTGCCTCCCTCTCTCCCGGAGCCCAGAGTCCACCTGCGGCCGGGGGTCGGGAGCGCGCGCCCAGGCCCGCGCTGGGGTCTCCCCTTCTCTGGCCCCGGGCCCACGGAGCGGACCCGCGAGCCCGGGGAGGGCGCGCCTGGCCCGGCCCCACCGCCCACCGCGCTCCACGGGGCGGGTCACTGCCCCCCAGCCCCGGCGATCGCGCCTGCAGAGGGGTCCTAAGCCCCTCAGGCCTCCAGGGAGCAGGCGTCGCTGGGGAGCCTGGGGAACAGCCTCCCGGGACCCCCAACCAAGGCGACATTTAAAAAAAAGTTCAAGCAGATGAAAAACCATGCCTAACAGTCGCTCCACACCCAGCCCCGCGACGCCGGGGGCGAGGGGGCCACGCTGCGGACGCAGGGGTCGCTCGCACAGCCCCACACCAGCCACGCGAGTCCCACCCGGAGGCCAGGGCCGCGGCCGCTCGAGGCCCGAGCCACGCGGCGCGCCCCGGGAGGCGCCCCGACAGCGGCAGCGCACCTGAGCCCGCCGGCCCCCTCCCCGCCGGGGCCGGGGTCTCCACGCGCGGCTCTCGGGGCGCCCCGGCTCCACCACGCGCTGACGCGCCCAGTTACCTGCTCGAGGCCGCGGGCGCTGCGCTCTGCAGTCGCTGCCCGGGGGAACCCAGACTCGGGTCACCTCGCGCGGCCGCGCCCCGAGGCCCCGCCCCCGCCCCCCTAAGCCCGCCCCGCCCTCCATCGGCCCCGCCCCCTCCACAGGTCCGTCCCGCCCCCAGGTCCGCCCCGCCCCCTCCCCAGGTCCGCCCCCCCACCCTTCTGGAGGTGCGCGCCGAGGGGCGGGGCCGTCGGCTGGCTCGCGCACCTGAGCAAGGTGCGCCTGCGCCCTCTACTCCTTTCCTCGTCTCTCCAAGCAGCGGCTGTCAAGTGCTCCCTCTGGAAAGATCTAAAATGGAGCTGGGCAGTTTGAAGTGTGTTGAGGGATCAGAAGGGAGATAGAAGGGGTATAGAGGGAAAGCCATTGGCCTGATGAACCTGTTTGAATAGGAAAGGAAGGAGAGGTATTTCTTGTCAGAGAGATTTCTGCACCCTTTCCTTGCGAGTGCAGAAACTTTTCTTAGTTGCAGTGTTACTGGACTTTAGTGTTTATATCCTAATTATAAAGTCTTTGAGAATCAGCCCACATCTCTTCCCTTTTGTGGCTTTGCCAGCAGTAGGTCTGTTGGAAGGAATCCTATATCCGCTACCACGGCTCGCCCCCATTCTACTCTGGAAGGCCCTCTAGCACCCTGACAGGGAGTTGCCTCGCCTTTTTCTTTTATGCCTCCCATGGTGGGAATCTCAACACTGTACTTGGGAAGTTGTTGAGTGAATTCCTGGATTATCTGCTGATGATGGCTCAGTTTCTGAGGGGCTGATAGATTGTAAACTGAAATAAAGGTACTTTTCTTCCCGGAGAGCAGTCTTTCTCCAAGCACGTTCTCTTCATCTGCAGTCCTTAGGGATGCTGGAGTGCGGGTGAGATGGGGTGGGGATAGGGGGTGGCAGGCAGTAGGTCTCAAGATCAAATTAATCTGGGGAAAGAGACAGGGTATAGTTGCTCTCCTTGAGATCACGACTCATTTACAGTCCTTAGAACTGTGTTTTACTTTGTATCATCCTATATTTCCCAAATTTATTTGACCTGAAGAGTGGTAGAATATGTCACCCCAAAATATGCCACTTTGGCATAAGGATGTTTTGAGTTAAAGGCATTTGAGAAACAGCAGATGCAAGGAGGGCACTCTGACTTTCCTTTTCCTTGCTGAAAGCAGGAGATGGAGCTCCCATGTGAAAGACGTCCTCTCTTTACCAGGAGGAAAGAAACTCTCATCACCAGCGACAGAGGGGCGAGGACAAAGGAAATCTATACAAACAAACCTTGTTAGACTAACCCTCATCTTCCTACTCATTTCTCCACCATTAACTGATCTGGCTCAAGCCCCTTTGTCTTGTCACCTTTTCACTATTTACCACTCTTTGTCCAGCTTAGTTTATAAGTTTAGCTCTAACTGCCTCTTCAGGTCGTCATTTTCCTGTGGGTGCTCCTGTGTACATGTGAAAATCTGTACGCTTTGCTTCTGTTCATCTGCCCATGTCAATTTAATTCTCACTTCAGCCAAAAACCCTAAGAGGGTAAAGTTTTGCTTCCCTTACAGAACATACAACTCTCTTCTTGAGAAATGCCTGTTTCCATCCTGGGGCGTTAGTATTTCAACACACACACTTCGATAAACACTGTTTTAAAGTCCTAGTACATTCACTTTCAGTAATTCTTCACCCTGTGCACAATGTGTGCAAAGTTCTGTACTGTTTGCACAAAGCTTTCAGGTGAGTCACCTCATTTAATCATCACAATTGTGATGTAACTTATTTTCCTAGTTTTACAGTTGAAAATATTGAGGGTCAAACAAACAGTGGCTGCCCAGGTATAGAGTCGAGACTGATTCCAGACTTCAGACACCAAGGCTTTTGAAATATGTATTACATAAAATATACACATATGAAGTGCTCTACTTAAGGGTCAAATGAGAGAATACTCTGTCTTTCTCTCTCTCTCATTTGACCCTTAGGTAGAGCACATCCTGGGTTAGAAACCTCTAGATCCATGTGTTAACTCTCAAAGACAAGGACCTTTATCTATCTTTTACTCCGTGCAGCCCCTGATTTCAGAGCGCAGGGCACCAAAGTGTCAGTCCAATGTGCGGAATGAATGAAGAGTGAATGAATGTGTGAATGCTCAGTCACACTTACTGAAGTGGACTGAGTACTTGGGTCCCTAACTGAACAACCTTAACAATCTCCTCACTCATGCAGAAGTCCCCAGAGCAAGAGCTTCCCAAACGGTTCTTAGTTTCTTTCCATCTACCGTCTAACAAGTCTTCCTCAGAGGAATCCACTCTGTTGGCAGATACAGTTCTTTGAAAACAATGAAACCACTTCCTTTGTTTTCTTTGAGACGGGCCTCCTTCCTGTTCCATTTTCAGAGACAAGGCTGCATTGATATGAATGAAGGATATTAGACAGCTTTATGCGCTCATGTTTAACCTCTTCCCATAAAATGATGGCGGTTGCCGCATTCTGAGTGGGTTTTTGTTTGCTTGTTACTGTTAAACATGAATGTTTTTAATGTTTAATGTCATATTATTTGAGGCAGACCTGCAGAGAAAAATAGATTTTGGTTGATGTGCATAACACCACTGTTTAAATTTGCTGTGCATATTAATTCTTTCAATTGATGGAGACAAATCACTTAATCCCTGTCCTAACCCCTCTTCATTCTTCCTTCATTTAGTGCAGTTTATAAGTGCTTTGTGCCTCAGTCCAGCCCTGCCTCTCCAGCCTCACCTCCCACTACCCGCCACTGCACAGTTTTGACTTTCTGAATTAATTGCAGTTCTCTAAATTGCCAAGTCTGCACTACCGTTCCCCTTACCTCTATTTTATGGGTATCAACTGGCAAATTCACGTTCATTCCACTGCAGTATCACCTCTTCTGGAAGAGGAAACTCCACAATGCCCATCTGAGAGTGAATGGGGTGCCCCTCCCCAGAGCATGCCCAACACAACCCCTCCACAACTCTAACACGGCACCTACACAATACTGTGATTATTGGCTTCTTTTCCCCCTTCCTAGTAAATTCATTCCATGTGAGATGCCAATCGACAGGAATTATGACTTCCACCTGTTTCCTGAGCACAGAGCACAGAGCACCTGACGTGTAGAAAAACAACCCAATATTTGTTGAATGAATGAAAAACAAATCTTTAAAAGAATATGAATTCCTAGAGTGCTTGTGAAGTAATTTCGCAAATATAAATGGTCATATGAATACAATAGGGGTGGCATACAGATTTCTGCTTCCCCCAAAATTATTTCCTTCCTATTTTCTGCCTTAGAAAAACATAACAGCAGAAGCCTATATATAGTCGGTCATTCAATTATTCATTTATTCGTTCAACAAACATTTTTGAGTACCTATGGTGTATGTACAGTCCTAAGCACTTGCTTCAGAGAGAAAGTGACAATTCAGCTGAGTCATGGATGCTTGCCAAACCTGGATTCCTTTTCCTGGCCTCAAAGCCAAATTACCTTGTCCATTTCCCATGCATCTAAGTAAGGCCATGTGACCAGTTCTCATCAATGGAATTTGAGCAGAAGTAGAGTTTTGTTTCTGGGTCTAGGCAACTAAGAACTGGTGAGCCTTCTTCCCCTTCTCTTCCTCTTCCCATTTCTTGACCACCTTGGACCATTGCTAAGCCATTGCTAGCCATTTCTAAAGCTGAAAGTACAACCAGATGGAAGAAGTCAGAGTCCGTGACTGACTTCATGGAATGAAGCTCCCTCTACCACCCACTAATCTTGATTGAATTGTGATGTGAGTGAAAAATAAACTTTATTGTGTGAGCTACTAATATTTGGGGATTTTTTTTTGCCCCAGCAGCTAGCTTTACTTACTCTGATTAACACTGTCATAAATGACATGCACATTACATAAAACACTAGAAAACATTGTCTCTTGTTCTAAGCATTGCATGGAAGACATGGAACATGAAAACTTATCAAACAAGGTACTAAGGCCATAGAGACTTCAAGTTTGTCCCAAGTGGTTAAAGAAAAATCTTTATGGATACACAGCTCTTTGTTCTCTTTCTCAGGTGGCCACCCGATCAGAATGCTAACATCTTGGCCTGAAAACAAGCATAGAGTCACCATGACATCATCTTCATCATCTTAATCAGCCATTGTCAGTCTCTTTCATGCACTTTGAAGGGTTTCCCTGAGTGAGCTCAAGAGGTCCAGTGTTACTCCAATTAGAGGATTGTCGATGCAAATAATCCGTAACCAATCTATAAGTGAAAATTGGGTTGAGTTTATTATTAGCCAGATCTGAGGACCATATAGCCCGGGATCACAAAGGAATGGAACACTCCAAAGAAGTGGGGGTGTACAGAGTGGTTATATACCATCAGAGAGCAGGTATCGCATATGACTGGAATGTCCCTTTTACAACAGTCACAAGATTGCCTAGCTGACACAGGGATTCACACAGCACCTGTTGAACACAGCAAGTGGCAGGTCTGTGGTCTCAAGCTGAGTTGTCGAAGCAGCTCAGCAATGAATCCCTAGCCTAGGGAGAGATGCTTATCCTTAATGAAATGCCCAAGTTGGGGAAGTTACATCTTTATGTATCTTTATCTTAAAGGACATTGTTTTTGTCTTTGGGACATAGTAAATGCTTAAAGCAGATGTACAACGCATGCTCAATGGCCACGTCAGGCCTTTTTGGAAAAACAAGATCAGGCCGAATTAGTTTTATACCAAATGCCTTCCTCATATACTCTAATATATCCTATTGCTTGTCATTTATTTGTCAGTATCTATTGAGGAATGATAGAAGGGAGGAGTGAGAAGATAGGCTGTGAAAGCTCTTGAACATCTTACTGAGGAGTTTGCACATTAATCTACAGGACACATATTGAATAAACTAGGGCCTACTCGTGGTGGGATCAGTTTTTTCATTTTCCCTTTTCATTCTTCCTTCATTTTCTTTCCCGGGTTACTGTTGACCACGCAAGCTAAGGTAACAATGGGGAAATGGCTGGTCATAGATGCTCCACCAAGAGACCTAATCATGACAAGGGCCTCTTTTCTCAGTGTCCTTGCC